AACGACGCTTCCTTCTGCTTCTTCTTTCTCTCTCTCTCTCTCTCTCTCTCTGTGGCTTCCTACCGTCGGCTTCGTGATCTACTTGTAGATTGGATCCTGGTCCCGAATTTTACATCTCTCTTCGGGTTCTTTCCCCTTTGCCCTCTCTCTCAAACTCCACCTCCGTTTGAAACTCTTTTCATCCTTTTGCACTCAAGACAGGCGAATGGTGTCATGTTGCTGTTGCTGTTGCTGATGTTGTGTGTATGCATGGGTCGGCTGGTCGGTTGGGTTACATAGTCTTGAACCCTGATACGATTTACTCGTTCGTTGTGTTTTTTTTTTTTCACCATTTGGAGATGCAGAAAGCATGATTTGGTTCTTTTTATCCCCTTCTGAAGAGGTCTGATGGTGTGGTTGGTTGGTTGAGAGTGCTGCTCTTTTCCTCGTCACTTGTAGTTTTGCTGTTGCACTGTTAGAAGAATTTTGTAGTTCTGGTAATTCGTAAGACACTTGTCTAGGTAATGGGATTTTGTATATGCTTTTGACTGGTGGGGTGGTCATAGTAACTGTAGGTGCCAGGGCCAGTGATATGGTCCGAAATGGATAGGCAGTCACATCATGGCAATCTATTTCTAACTATTTTATAGACAAAGGGTATATTTCATTTGGGGGCGGCTATACATGGTGTGTGTCGCGTAGCCTAGGCGTCGGTACTGGTGGTCACCTTCTCCTTCACCTTCAAATCCTCAATCCTCCGCCAGATACCAATAAACCCACCTCCCACGATCCTGGTGCCAACCTTGGGTCGACAGACCAGCACCCGATCCGCACCCTCGTCCACCGAGCTGCCAGCCGAGGTCGAAGCCGCTGCCCCCTCCGCAACCTCCTCACCAACCGCACCCTCTTGCTCTGCCTCTACCCCCTCCTCCGGCACGGAGGAAGAAGCGCCGGCCCCGGCGTCCGAAAGCGTCTCCTTGGTTTTCCTCGTCGCATGCCGCACATCCCACAGCCGCCCGCTGCTGATCCCATTGCCCAGCTCCACCACCTTTTCCTGGATCAGCGGCAACCGCTCCCGGCGGATCAACTCCAGACAGTCGCCGATCTGGGTGACGCTGGGCGTGAAGACCGCGAGCAAGCCGTCGCGTTTAAGAATCGAGGTGACGTGCGGGATGCGCAGGTGCGAGGAGGGCATGTCGAGGATCGCGTACGACAGGAACGGGTCCACTTCCACCTCCGGCTCTGAAGCTGTGGTTGTTGTTTGGTTATCGGCCTCGGCGGTCGAGGCGGCGGAACGGCTACGTTCCTGTTTCTGCGCCGCGACCCAGGTCTCGACGGGGCCGGAGTAGAAATCGACGTTGCCGGCGTAAATGCCGCGGCGGAAGCCCCGGACGAGGGTTTCGGCGTGGCGGGCAGTTTTGTGGGTGATGTCGACGGTGTGGATGACGGCTTTGCGCTGAGAGCGCCAGTTGTCCCAGGTCGTTTGGGTGGCGAGAGTATCGGTGGGGTTTGCTTCTGAGGTGGTGGTAGTGGTGGTGACTGAGGCGGAAGTGGAGGAGGTGGCGGGTTCTGGGCTTGCTTCTGTTGTTGTTGTTGTTGTTGATTCTGATGAAGGTGTTTTCGAGGAGGTGCGGGAGGGAACGAGGTCTTTGACTTGAGAGGTTGTTGGAAACGGAGGTGGAATGGAATTGGCGCCCTGGATGGCACGAGCGAGATGGAGGGTTAAGGACCCATGGCCGGTGCCGGATTCGAGGATTTCGAGAGGAGCTTGTTCGGGATCGGAGGAAGGCGCCACGTGGATGTCGAGGAGGGAGACGATTAGGTTGGCATCTGCGGAGTAAATCTAGATATTTGCGAATCTTCCGTTAGACGGGGGGGACCAGCTTGTTGTGGTGGTTGTGCATACCGGTGTCACCAGGCGAGGCGTCAGTGCGACATATTCTTCAAGAGTGGGCAGATAGAGCCTGTATTCCGGACCTAGATAGATGTACGGGTCAGCGCTCTGCTTGTTTATGTTCTCGTCTTGGTGGTACAAGATTGCACAAAGGTAAACATACCCTTATGTGACGGGATCAGATCTCGCACTCTCCGGCCGATAATATCGTCGTGCTCCAACTTCCCCCGACGGACATCTGTCCGGCCACCCTTGCGCAGTGGTTTGGTTAACAGAGGGGTTTTCCCATCGACAACGGCTCTATCTCCCTCTAGTGAATGTTAGATATCAGTACACACAAAGCAGCAATCGCACGCGGGTGTGATCCCCTTACCCCGGAGATAGGTAAAATTGGTATCAATGGATGGGAAACGACGGGCAATGGATTGCGATGGCAATGAAGGACTCGGGTTTGCGGTCTTGGGCGCAGCTGAAGGCGTCGGTCCCAAGATCCGACGTAGTGCTTGCAGCAGACGCGCCATTGAGGGCAATTGACCCGAGGGGAATGGCAAGAAGGTTGTTTAACTTCTAATGCACCATAACGAAACTTTTCCGATTGAAAGGGACCGACTACGCTTTCCTTATCCGGCGCCGGCCCGGCCGGCGGAGAAAGGACGTGGAGATGTCTCGAGAGTGCGTGTGCTGAGCAGGATTTCTACTGTTCCATCTTATCTTTCCTTGATCTGGTCAACAATGGTTACTCAAGCACCTGAGACAACTGCTGATATAACACCTCAAGAGAGTGCTTTATTGGGATACAGACGATATCTTGACTCAAGAGTCTGCAGTCTTGAGTTCGCTCAAGATCCATCGAGCGCAACGTCCGTGATAAAGCATTTGACCTAGAAAACCTTCGATCTTCCAATGAGTGGACCCAGTCAAGTCACAGCCCGTGGTGGTCTATCTAATATATCAACCAACTTCTGTGATCGATGCAGTGAAGATGGCTGCCAGTCAAGTGCTGGGGACCGGATCCCGAAGAGACGGTCCGCTCCCGTTGTTATCTCCGCCCCCCAGCATGACTGGGTCGGTGCGTCTTCATTGAAAGACTGAAGTGAGTGGCCGGAAGAGCTCCGAGATGCCTTCCGTCTTGTTCCATCGAGCCCCAGGAACCATTTCCATTGCGGAAAAAAGAATACAATTCACTGATGAACTAGTCTCGAAGTGGCACAGTATCTGGGGAAACTCCGCCGATCTAACGACTGACTCAAGAGTCAAGCGTGGCCCAATTGATCTTTGCTCTACGGTGGGTTTCGTGATTATCCACTCTTTCACTGATCGAGTCTAGCTGCTGGACTGCTGACTCTCTTCCTTTCTCTTCCCCCCTCTCCAACGCGGGGCTCTCTCTCTCTCTCTCTCAAAACTTTCTCAGCACTGTGAGCATCATTCACTTGACCATTCTCTTGAAACATTTCGTGCCCAGTTGTACGCTCACCCGCCGCGGCCTTCCCCTGCCCCTCAATCAGGTTTGTCGGCCCCGCTCCCCAGCGCCAGTTGTCCGCATCCCGTCCTTGTTCGCCCCTCTGGATTAAGCCTGTTCGGTGATTTCGCTGGATCAATATTGCATATAGTTGTGTCTGACAATGCAGAACTAGAGAGAAAAAAAAAAAACCACCCTTTGACAAGTACCGACCATGGCCGCCTCCAATCTTCCATACATGAAGACCAACCCCAAAATCATCTTTTTTACGGACTTCGATGGCACAATCACTCTTGAAGACAGTAAGCTTGCTCTGACCGTGACGTCAGTCTATTAAACCTGCTAATGAACTTGAACAGGCAACGATGCTATGGTAAACTCCCAATCCCAGTCGATTCAATGTTTCGCTGTCTTTGACTGACTCGCTACTTCGCTCGCAAGATCGATAACCTGGGTTATGGCCGCGACAAGCGCCGCGAAGGGAACCTGGCGGTCCTTGAAGGCACAATGAGCTTTCGGTACGTGCGTCAAAATAGGGTCGGCTTCTTGACGGCCGGCTAATCTCCAACACCCAAACCTAGTGACTCCTTCCGCGACATGTTAGACAGTATCAAGACCCCCTATAATGAGTGTATCGAGTACCTCAAGAAAAACATGAAGCTAGACCCCTATTTCGTCGAGTTCTACCACTGGTCGCGGGAGAACAATGTGCCGATCGTTGTTTTGTCTTCCGGCATGATCCCCGTTATCAGTGCCCTGTTCGAGGCGTTGCTGGGCGGCAAGCCAGACGACCATCTCTACATCGTTGCAAATGAAGTTGAGAGCCGCGATGGTAAGGACATAAATAGCGAGGGTGGTTGGAAAATCAAGTATCACGATGATAGGTAAGAAGCCTCGCACTTGGACCTCGTGACCAGTCCAAAAAACAGCTGACGTCATATCCCTAGCCATTTCGGCCACGACAAATCCTTGGAAATCAAGCCTTACGCCGCGCTACCAGACAACGTGCGCCCGACCTTGCTGTACGCGGGCGATGGGGTCTCTGATCTGTCTGCTGCGGCTGAGACGGATCTGCTGTTCGCTAAGCAGGGCAAAGGTAGGCTTCTGATAGGATCGTTTGATTGAAATGACTTGACTAACACTTCCAGACCTCGTAACTTTCTGCGAGCGTCAAGGTGTTCCCTTCACTCTCTTCGAAAGCTGGGAGTCGATTCTTGCGACGACTAAGGACATCCTGGCGGGTAAGGTCTCTGTCAAGAAAGTGGCTCAAGAAGGATTGGACAAGGCCCATGAGGGAGCCAAAAAGGCCTGAACGAGGGGCAGTTTTTGCAGCAATAGATATAGACTACAAGGCCATAGACATATAGCCAGGCCAAGTACTAGACTCTACAATGATAGATAGACATGACATTCAATTTTGATCAGCTGGTATCAACTGGCAGCTCAGTATAAATGGGGATGAACCAAATATCCCAAACGAGGCTAGTGCAGGGTTCCCCCTCGGCTAACCTGCAAAGGGCTAGCTCCCGTCCGGCTTCCGATTTGACGGGCCAGAACCATGTGACCGTTCCGCCACCGCCTTCCCGACCTGGTAGGGACTGGGGGCGGACTCCGCTTGGGGCAGGCCAGACAACGGATCGCCTTCTTTCCCCTCCTGAATTCAAAAGAAAATCATCAAGGGCCCCTTGTGAGATGACCGGTGATCAGGTCCTTCTCTTTGGCAAGCCCCTGAATTTTCTGTGCAGTGCTTGTGTGTTTCAACATGCTCCTGTGCTCGTGGCCGCTTCACATATCTGTTTAGCACTGGCCAGAGGTACCCCCAATTAACACTACCACTTTTAGCATGACACGCCGACTTGTATGTTTGGAACATCTGTGCATCCCTGAGATTGATGCTCGCTCTCGACGAGATTCCTTGCTAAATTTGCTGTTTCTTCTCAGGTTCGAGCGGGCGTGCAGCTCGCAATCTTCGCGTCCTTTGTCACTCTCCTCGTCGTGGTTTTGGACAACCGATTCCGCGTCCTCCCTGCCTCCATCCATGGCCACCTTCCGTCCCATTACAACGGCCTCGTCGTCACCGATGTGACAGTTGTCACCTGTTCGTCCGTGAATGTCTTTTCCAGCTGCAAACCCAACCCACAGACGGCATGGTCGCAGGTGGAGAAGGATCTTTACCTCCGCACCGGCTGGACCTCGAGCGCTTTCGTCCGCTTCGAGCGCAAGAAAGAGGAGGAGCTCCTCGCCAGCGACCAAGTGGTCATTGACCTCAAGATCAGCCGACTCGTTCCAGAGTACTCAGATAAGCCTGAGGACGAAAAGGAGACGTGGGAACAAAGACCCGGAGGCATCTGGCTTAAGCGGACCGCCAAGCGGCATGCGAGTGACTCGCAGAAGGCGATCACGGCCGTCGATGTTCTATTCGGCGCGGATGCCGTGGACCCTCGTATTGGCTGGGAAGTGAAGGATACCCCGCTGCTACTGGATAGCCGGACGGAGACCCTGGAGGCCCGGATTAGCGTTCGGAGGGGCGATCCCGCCAAGACGAAGAAGCCAGTGCCTCGCATCAATGAGAACGGGCGGTTCAAGATCATGCAGCTCGCAGATTTGCATCTGAGTACGGGCCTCGGAGCGTGCCGAGACCCCGTGCCGGCGGAGTCGATTCCGGGCCAGAAGTGCGAAGCTGATCCCCGGACACTGGAGTTTGTGGAGCGGCTCCTGGACGAAGAGCAGCCGGACATGGTCGTCTTGAGCGGAGATCAGGTCAATGGCGAGACAGCCAAGGATGCGCAGAGCGCACTCTTCAAGTCTGTGAAGTTGCTGGTCGATCGCAAGATCCCCTACGCGGCTATTTTCGGCAACCATGACGATGAGGGGGACCTTTCCCGACTGGAATTAATGACGATACTGGAGGACCTGCCATACTCACTCTCGAGGGCAGGGCCGGAGGAAGTGGACGGCGTTGGAAATTATTATGTGGAGGTCTTGGGCCGTGGAAGCACTCAGCACTCGGCTCTGACTCTGTACTTGCTGGATAGCCACTCCTACTCCCCTGATGAGCGTCAATTCCGCGGCTACGATTGGATCAAACCCACCCAAATCCACTGGTTTAAGAACACTGCTCATAGCTTGCGGAACAAGCACCACGAATACACTCACATGCACATGAACATGGCTTTCATCCACATTCCTGTGCCTGAGTACCGCGACTCTCGCAACTACTACCGTGGAAACTGGTCCGAAGCTCCAACAGCTCCGGGCTTCAACTCGGGCTTCAAGGACGCTATGGAAGAAGAGGGCATTCTATTTGTGAGCTGTGGACAGTAAGTGTCTCTCCCATATCGAATCTGCAGATACAGTCGCGCTAACAAATCCCCAGTGACCACGTCAACGACTACTGCATGCTGAACCGTGATCACGAAGAGAAGCCATCCCTTTGGATGTGCTATGGAGGTGGAGTCGGGTTTGGCGGTTACGGAGGCTATGGGGGCTACGTGCGACGGGTGCGGTTCTATGACTTCGACATGAACCCCGGTCGCGTTATGACCTACAAGCGGCTTGAGCATGGCGAGACCGAAGGCCGCATCGACGAGATGATGATCATTGATGGAGGTACGGTCAAGGGACCGGATCCAGAACTTTAAGTCCATTAAGAGGCTTCTTTTCTCTTCTTCTTTCATTTCGCTTTTCATTGACACAGGGCTCCATTTAGCTCCACGGCTCGGCTTTTATCTTCGATCACAAACCGGAGTAAACTTTGACTTGTTTCTTTGTACTATACCTATACCTCTGTGTGAGCTCGGAACCGGCAGTTGCAGGCATTGGCAGAAAGGAAGGGGGGTGTTGTTTTGCAGGGTTACCCTCCCAAAAGATTGATTTGCTATTTTGAATGCACCATCGTTGTTATCGGATTTTTTTTTCTTTACTGAACTACAGCAGTTTTTTCTTTACTTTCTCGCATACCAATTTTACACCATGGCTCCCTTTTCTTTTGGTCTTACCACCATTTTTCATAGAATACCCTTTCTCGACCACCAAGTAACCCCTCCAGTCTCCCAACGATATCGTCCGTCATGCCCGGCGGTCCGCACACGTAGGCTACCGTCTTCCCTGGCTCGATCGTCCCATCGTCCCCGCTTGCCGCGGCGGCCCGCAGATCCTCGGCGTTGATCCGGCGACCATATATTCGCAGGTCATTATCATCGTCGAATGAGTGTCCGAAGAGCGGAGAGGACTCTTTCCTCTTCTCTTCGTCTAGGTTCGTGATGAACAGGTGCAGCGTGATCCGGAGACGACGGAGCTGCGACTGGATGTTTACGATATGTCGTAGGCGAGAGAGAAAGAGGATCTGGTCCAGTAGGCTCTCGGGGGATTGGGTGGTGGTTGCTGTTACTGTTGCTGTTGCTGTTGTTTTTGTCGTCGTCTCTGGTTGGGGGAGTTTGGTGGAATATAGGAAGTGGATGTTGAAGGATGGATGGAGGAGGGTGGTGGTTGCCTCGTCGTCGTTGTTTAGGTGGGAGAGTATGGAGACGAGGGGACTTAGAGGCTGTTAGCTGAACTCTTCTGTCGCCATTCGATCATGAGGAGGAGAGGAGTATTGAGGGTTGAGGGTCAAGGGGAGCGAAGATGTTGAAAGCCGAAGGGAGACTACATCTCGGACTGCCCGCAGCCCCAAACCACCCCTGTCCACTTCGTAGCAACAGAAGGATAGGAAAGGCCAGTCCAGAGATGCGGACTGACCCAGGGTAATCAAGGCTATATAGATCGCAACGAAGAGAGGAAGCGGGGCAAGCTCACTTAATTCCCACTCCGCCCGCAATGAAAACCACATTCCGGATTTCAGTCAACCGCACCCCGGACGGCGGCCAAACAAAGCTCCCTCCCACACGGATGCTGAGCTCGGAACCCAGAATCTCCTCTGTGGGCTTCCAGAGCCACGCGCTGGCCGGGTTCGAGGGCGCGTGGCGCACGGCGAGCTCTACGTACGGCGATCGACCCTCGGGGTTGAGCGGGGGCAGTCCCGCTTCATCGTTGGCGATGGCTTCCACGGAGGCTGCTTCGGCTAGCGAGGGAAGGACTTGTGCGTCCGCGGGGGTGGAGGTGATACTGAAGCCTCCTGCGTTGGAGATGGAGGGGATGTGAACGTCGAGCCATTGGCCTGGGAGGAAGGTCAATGGTTGGGGGTGCGACTGTGTGGGGGGAGGGGACGTGGTTAGTATGATGAGTGGTTGAAGGGGTGAAGCAATTGTTTCGACAGAGTGCGGGAGAGAGAAGGTCGTGCGGGATCGAGGCTAGCTCTTACTTCTTGATCACTTTCCTGGGTGTTCTCCTCCGGACTCTGTACCTCTCGAGGAATGGTTAGTTGCAGCAGTCGCACACATGGGTTGACCTGCTCGATATGCGACAGGCGGACGTTGTATAGTCGGTTCTGGCGGGGCTCGGCGGCAGTGCGCATCTGATGGGGCAATGTGCCCTTCCCACTCGTTGCTGCGCTCATCTGGTAACGCTGTAGCGTGGTAGCCGATTGTGGGCGCTTAAAGAGACCCCGGGATTGTTGGAGATGGCGTGACAGGCCGCGTAGCACGGTGTGACGGCGCATCCAGAGGCGCCAATCTTGGTGATGCGTACTCCGTATATTTGCGCGGTTTGATAATACCTTACCCGAGCGCTTGTATCGAGGTTCTGGATTTATAATCGACTGTTGGCTTCGCAGTAATTCGTTTCAAGGTTGGATTGTGCAAGAGACAATATGGTTGTAAAGTGAGCTGTGATTCGAGAAGGTGGTGACGTCCATGTCATGTGCTCGGCCGCTCGCATTTCCTCTTTCCATTCTCCAACCATCTCCAACTACTACTACCATCATGGAGATTCGGCTTCAGTCTTTGACTTCTACGATTATCTAGAAGCGTAGATTTGAGAGCACAGTTGATGACACATGACACGGTTATGCCTTTCGTATGAGGGCAATACTCAACCTCAAATCATGCATGAGCCGTCACAGCAGCAGCACCAGTCATGGCTGGATACTCCACCCGAGCGCTTCGATCTCAAGTGAGCACGGCCGTTCAACGACTACCTGTGAGTCGTTAGTCTCTGCCAGGCCTACTCCCCCTCATTGCAGAAGCAAGCCTCTCGGGGCGTGCATGCAGATCTTTCTTCACCATCACACGGCTCTAGTGTGTGACGGCTGGCAGCCAAACCGCCCACTCTGGCGCCTCATTGGCGACAAGCCCTAGGTGCGGGCGCTTCCTGGCCGACACGCATTGGCCAGATGCACCTGTAAGACACATGCAACCAGTGCTCTCTCCGCCATACTTTGTGATCGTTTGCCCCTCTCCGCATCGTGCTCATGGAATCCGGACCATTCGACCTGGGGGTCCTTCCCTACGGGGAGGCGCCGGTACTTCATATCTATGCGCCCTCCCTTTCCCAACAAACGCCCTCTCTGATTCCTTCCCTCCTGCTTGCAAAGGGACATATCCTCTCTGCCTATAATTTCGCGTTTCAGCTTGTCCGGCTTTGTCTTTGATGTCCCTGCACTGAAAACGCCCAGCCAGCCGGCTCTGGCCCATTCCAACGCATCTCGGTGAGAATACGAGCCCGAAGCGCCAGACAACGCAGGATTCTGGGTTTCAGAGGGACGGTTTCTTTCACAGTCCCCCGTCTGCCAGATCTGAAGAAAGATCTTGGCATTGAATAGAGAAACAGTACTATTTACACCCAGTGCTCTCCCTCTCTCACCATGTTCGGTCCCAAGAAGTTCTACTTCCCGACACGATGGCGGAATCACAACCTCCTGTATATACTTATGGGCGTTGAGTTGCCGCTGGTGGTCATCATCCTAACATTGACGGGTATCGCGAATCATGATCTCTACCGCACGAAGCTCTGGCAGGATGGCGCCGACAATGGCTTCAACAGTGCCCCCAATGAGGCCCTCTACGCTGCGGCTAATCACCGCCCGTTCACGACCCCGATGGTTTGGAGCTCACTGTATGTTTTTTGAACTCCTAAAGCTACCAACGCTCAAATTCCGCAGAGAGGGCAAATCTTCAAACTAACCCGATTCTCTTCTAAAAGTATCACACGGTACAACCTCGTCCTCGGTATCTTGGCTGTCTTCATGTGGATCACCAAGATTCCACTTCACATCCTTCATATGCTCTACCCGCCTGTGTGCGCCTTTGTTCACGCTGGCCTGGTCGCTGTTTGGATTTACTCTGTACGGTATCAAGCCGGCCCCGACATGTCGGATCCAGACCATCCTCAACCTGGCGCACCGTGGTATATCACCAAGAAATGCTCCGTGGCCTACGTGAAGTCAAATGTGCATTACTGCCAGCAAGCGAAAGCACTATTCGCATTTTCCATAATCATCATGTATGTTGACCTCTTTCTTGCTCTGAAACTGGTTCAAAGGCCTCCCCAAGCTAACAAACGCACTATAGTCTCTTCTACTTCGGCATCACCTGCCTCAGCCTACGCAACTGCATCATCACCGAGGAAGAGCGCCTGGAAATCGAGGAGCGCCAGGAAGACGAGCGGGCCATGAAGGAGTTCGAGGACTTCGTGCTCAAGTCGCCGGGCATCCCCATGACCACGATGCAGCCCCTAGGCATGCCTCCCAAGTCCCCGATGCACCACGTCACCACAGCGCCGAGCGACGGCGGTTCGAGCTCGGACCTGCCCCTGCGTCAACATTTCAGCACCCCGAACCCACGGCGCTCGATGCAACAAGACTCGACGGAGACGCTGTCGGACCATCAGCCCCAGCCGCAACCCTACTTCCCACCGCCACCGAAGAAAGCCGCCAAGAATTGAGTCCGGTGGGGTTGTCGATGATGAAATTGTCTTTGAGAGAACGAGATCGTTCATGAAGGCGTTGACTTTGTCTTGCCGTGTGCATATTCCCCCTACAACGGTCCAAACACATGTCTTCTTTTCTCTGTTGCCACGATTATTAATTGTCATGTCTTATGCATTGTTCATACCCCCATTTTCCCTTCCGGAAGTTTACCGGTTAAGAGTCAATAGTTTAATCTCGTAGTCCCATGCACACCCTGAACATAGCTCACTTCCCACCAACCCAAAATGAAGATCATGCGCTGGTCATAATTGTAATCGGAGGAGACACCAAGTCCATTCGATTTTAGTCCGAATATACATATCCCGTATAGTAGTCATGCCATCATAGATAGACACCAAGTCATAATCAAAAGCATTGAAAGTAAATTTCACATGCTCTGCTGCAATAGCACGCACGACCAAACCAGTACATGAACCAGCCCGTAAAGAAGAAAAGAAGAAATATCCCAAGAAAAGAAAAGAGAAGTGAAAGAAGCAGGGGGTATCCTCGCAAGGGGGGTCTCAATGTCCAACCCTAAGTGGCAATTAATGCAGGTAGTACAGTAACAATCATGACAAACGTCGCGTCAATGGCCTTCGAAAATTTCCCCCATTACACCCACCTTGCAAAGACGAGACCGGGGAGAGTACGGAGTACGAAGTAGAGGTTTTACTGATCAGGGATCTTGGCGTTTCTTCTCCTTTTTAGCCCAGCGTACTGTATAATCTAGTTAGTCATGGTCCTCGACCGGAAAAGAAAACAAAGAGGAGGGAGGAAGGAAAGCCAAGTGTGAAGCAATGAGTGGAAAACGGGGGGGGAGGGAGGACGGGTAGGAGCATCAACTCACATCCACAAGCATTACACAACGTCTTCGGACCCTCGGGCCCCTTCCGCCACTCCGGCGAATCACTCGTCCCGCAGTCCGTACACATATACTCGCCCTTGAGTCGTTTCCTCCGATCCCCATCCCCGACTCCTCGACTTGCCTGGGGATCGTTGCCAGACGACTCGCCATCAATGTCCGAGTAGTGGACCAAGCGACCATGCTTTTGACCGGTACTCAGACCCTGGGACCGCTCGCCCTCTCCATAGTACAGACCGGTCATGACCTCAATGCCCTCGATATGCGACATGTCGTCGACCGCAGGTAGGCGGTCCATGACGCCCTCCATGCCGGGAAACGAGCGCGAATCCGCATCGTCGGCGTTACTCGTGACCGTATCGGAGGATTCGTTGTCCTCGCCGGAAGTGGAGGGAGTGTCGCGGGCGGGTGCCCGGTTGGTGGTGGATTGGGTGACCGTCTGCGTGGTCGTGATGTATGTTTGACGGGTAGTGGTGGTCGAGGTGTGGACAAAATGGCCATCTCTGTTGTTGTTGTGGTAATTGTTGTTGCCGGCGCCGCTATTACTGTTATTGAAAGATTGCTGCGTCGCGTTGAGCTCTTCCTCTTCCTCTTCCTTGAGTTGCGCGATGCGCTGATTGAGGCGGATGTTCTCGATCTTATGTTCGAGAAATGAGTTGAGGAGCTGGGCTCCCCTAGTCGGATAAGGGCGACAGACGAGGAAAATCCCTCGACACTCGGATTGTTTCTGCTGCTGCAGCTGTTGCGGTGGCGATGGGGATAGCGGTCGTGGAAGTCTTCGGTGACCATTTGAGCCAGCTCCACTGCTGATACCATTACTGCTACTGTCACTACTGCCGTTGTTGCCGTTGCTGCTTGCACTGGTGCTGCTGGCGCTGGTGCTGCGACCCCCATTACCACCACCCGGACCACTGGGCATCGACGAGGGATCCGAGGGAGCGATATGTGGATGTCCGTGTGCTTCGAGCAGACAGAAGCTGCTATCTGGCTTACAGAAGCGGAAATGGCAGCGCAACAGCCGGCCAGTCTCAATACATTCTTTCAATTCTTGAGTGAGAACGGACTTGTCGTCCTCGTGAACATAGCGGAACAGGTCGCTCTTTTCGAGCGACTGGGCTTCGAAGCCAGTGATCTCGACGCACGAGGGTGACGCATACAGAACTCGACCTTCGCGATTGAGCAGAAGCATCAAGTCCTTCATCTCCTGCAGGACCCGCGAGGCCCAGTTCTCGCCGTTGCCGTTGCCGTTGCCGTTGCCATGCGCAAGGGAGTCGGCAGACTGCTGGCCAACTTCGGCGCTGCCGGCCGCGGCGGCGGCCGCGGCGGCGGAGTGAATCGCTGCTGTGCCGGTGGCAGCCACGGGAGGCGATGTGGGACGACCGGTGGGAGGTATAGTTGAGGGTGTGGTTGACGATGAGGTCGAGGATGAATGTTGCTGGTGCTGTTGTTCGAGTATACTGGGGCCGGGGGTGGAGGCGGCTGGGCCGAGGGTGCGTGGGATGCTCCGCGCATCCATGACGCTATACGGGAAGTTTGGCAGCTGACCTTCGGATGGTTTTGAGTTTTGCTGGACTGGCGGGTGAAGGTGTCCGTACGCCTGATTCTGGTTCTGCCCGAGCCCTCGTGGAAAACCAAGTTCCATGTTTAAGAGGTTCGAGGGAACAGATGAGAAGGGATGGGGGTCAAAGGCGGAGATATGGAGCGATGGAAGGTGATCTTGGTGGGGGACAGAGAGAGCAATTGAAGACTGGCCTCCAATCTGATCCGTGAGAATGGCAATGTCGGAGGAAAGAGGGAGAAGAAATGGAGAGCGCGTTCCAGACACGCTCTCTTCTTGTTTCTTGAATTTGGGAGTTGCTGGTGTTCTGTGTCTTTTGAGGAAGATGAATTGAAAGCCTGAAGAAGAGTTCAATTCCAGATCAACCTCGCCTCGCCTTCCTCCGAGGGCGAGACTCGACCTCGGATCATCATGTTTGGAGTGTTTGAATGCGAGCTGTCAATTCCCGCCCGAGCGACGATGATTGGATCGAGGCTCCACTGAGAGTGGGTCAGGTGACATCGATCATGGATGCCGTGGGCATTTCTTTCACCATTATGGGAATTGGATTCATCATCAACATACTTGAGTACTAAATCATACTCACTGCATAACAGTCTACTTGGTGCAATCACAATCTGACTGACTATCTACACTCATAGTGACTCTTTACAGCTAGATACAGACCAAAGGTCGACTATATCAAACCCGGCTGAGTCCTCAAAGTCGAGGTTATTGAGCACGGTACGGAGTACTCCGTACTGTCTTCGATCCTTCGTCCGCTGTGATAGGGGACGTGCATTTTCTAAGAATATCCTCTCCCGCGGGGTAGTACCAGAAAAGACACGGCGACCCGGAGCTTGATAACAACTCCTCCAGACCTATAGAAGTCCTACGCCTTTATTATCCGGCTGCAACCCCCTTTACCCCCTGCTAGTACTAGCAACAACTAGCAACAACTAGCCGGGTTTGGCGGACGTGATGCATAATCTCTCTACCCCTCTCAAAACCACAAAAAGACTTCTGTGGCAATCGCTACCGTATACTCATATGTACAGTTCTATATACACACTTACTCTAGGAAGTAACTATGGCCAATACAACCGTGTTCCGTCGTCTTCTTCGCCTTCTGAAAGCTCTCTTCCCCGACGCAATACGGAGAAGGCATACAGTCATTTCCAGATGACAGCATAACGTCGTCGTACCCATCCTGTCAAAATGCCGCACACGGATTCAATAAAGTGACCTATCGAGTATCTCTCGTCCTCTTGCGCGACTTCAACAGCTGGAGTCTGAGTCGAGGTCTCTCTTGTGGAGGAGTGGCGTCTGCAGCGGACCACCACGTCGACAGATAGTTGCATTGTCGTGCACGACAGCCGCAGCTGTCGTCTGCAAAATGAAGCAAGCACAATGTGACGGGTCGAGACAGGAAATCTGATGGCTCCGATCAACCGCGACCAATGATCCTATGGCGTCACTGGCCCTTTGAGCGTGATCCACTTTCGAGGTCATCCGAGATCGTCGATCTCAGGGTAGCTGTGCGATTTGCATCCAAGTCTCCTACTTTGATTCATGGTTAAGGCTGGTATTCGAGGTACCTACAGTACCTAGGCTCTCGTGCTAAGAAGAGGGAGGTGGTGTGTAAATTGCATTGTGCGCATCCTTGGCTCGAGGTGGCATCTTGGCAGACAGACAGACAGGAAGTTCTACAAGCATTTGAGTATGTGTAGGTGTGGGTTGGGTCCGTGAGATCGATTGTTGGTATCTTTCGGCTTCGGACAGAATCGAGGGAACGGGTGGCCAAGTAGTTCGCACCAGGCAAGAGCGGCGCGTCGACGCGATATATCATATCACAAGTCGGAGGGAGTTGCTACTGCTTTTGCAGGTACACTGTTGAAGGAATAATCAAAGTCAATGAAGGTTTTTCTCATTGTTCAAGTGGCAGTGCCACAAAGGTTAACATGATAGATACATCATGCGATCGCAACGCCCAACAACAACGGCTTTTGCCAGAGGAAACAGCACAGCGCAGTTCCAAGGCTCCAACAACAACAACAACAACAACAACAAAGCTCCAAAGCAAGTGTAATCACTCTAAGCATCCCCCAAACATTCCAACAAGCGATTCCAAAGGCAGCTTTTCAGTTGACGCACGAGCAGGTCTTGCCAGCGTGGCGACAAGTACATTTGGTCAGCCCTCCACACATACACTTCCCATGAATAGTGCAGCGACCCTTGCAAGGCCCGGCAGGCTTGTGTGAGAAACGTCAGCAGGGGTCCGAAAGAACATCGGGAGAAGTGTCAGGGGCTTACCGCGTGAGCGAGATGTGACACTGGGGTGCTCTCCACTTCCTCGTTGGTATCCAACTGCTCGTTGGTGTCCGAACCCTCGTTGGTGTCTGACCCTTCTTCATCAGTCTCCGAGGCCGCGCGAATGGTCAGAGTCGGGGTGGTGTTCAGGGTCGAGGTGGTGTTCGAGGTCGAGGTGGTGTTCGAGTCCGCGCTTTCCAGTCGGGCAGCTGGACTATCGAGGTAGCGTGTGCACGAGCATGGGAAGCCAATCCTTGGGCAACGGCAGTGGGTCAAAGCAGTATTGGAGCAGTAGCACTTGTGCTTCAGGTTGCAGATTCCCTTGCACTGCACGGGAGGCTAAAGAGGATTATAGTCAGCGAGGGCAAGTGACACGGTATCAGAGGCACCCGATCAATGACTTACAAAGGGAGGTATGATGATCAGGGTCTGGTTGTTTGGACCTTCGGTGAGGTTCAGACCGGAAGTGGTGATCGAATCATCAGTGGCGTTCAGATCAACAGGGGTTTCCAGGTCATCGGTGGTGTTCGTATCATCGGTGGTGTTCAGATCATCAGTGGGATCCAGATCACCAATGGAACCCGAATCATCAGTGGTGTTCAGATCACCAATGGAACCCGAATCATCAGTGGTGTTCAGATCAACCGGGGTATTCAAACCATCAGTGGGATCCGAATTATCAGTGGTGTTCAAATTGTCAGTGGCGTTCAAACCGTCAACAGCATCAAGACCGGCAACGTCGCTCTGACCATCATCTTCCGCGGACTCATCGCGAGATTTGAAGTGGTTGATGCATTTGCACGGGGCATGACGATGCCAGCAACGGCAACGAGTCTTTGCGCAGTGGCACCAGTGGTTCCAGTCACAAACGCCCAGACAAGTTCTCCACTAGAACAGCACGAACAAAAGTCAGCAACGGTTAAGGACAATCGATCAAGCCAAACTATTCGCAGCCACCCTCTCCACTTACAGTGTCAGGACGTGAGACCGGAAAGAGCCCTCCGCCCAGGCCTAGGACTCCGCTCTGGTCGTTGCCCTCAGGGACGTCGTCACCGGGGACAGCTCCATCGGACACAGAGGGGACATCGTGCTCGGCAGTAGGCTGGGCGTGGGTTCCTTCAACAGGGCTATCCTTGAGCGAGTTCAAGTTGTCATCGATGTTCGCAACATCAGTGGAAGTGGGACCCTGGGGCTTTGTCAGGGCAGTCTGCATGAACAACCCCAACACCAGGAGGAAAACAAGGAGGTTTTCGAGACGGAACATCGTGAACGATGTGATGAGTGGATGTTGAAAACGTCAAGACGAAGGAACTTTTGGAGGCGTTCAAGACAAGAGGAAGGATGAGAAATGGAACGGGTGGTGAGGAAGAAGAGAGGAGGAAGAGAAGATGAAGAAGAAGAGAGATCGAGGGGGGGTTTTATATCCCACGAAGGCCACACGGTGGCGAACATTAAGATTATATCCAGCTCGCTACCAGAGATATTTTGATATCAGGAGTGATTCCTGGTGTCAGATCAGCTCGCTACCGGTGTTTCCTGATGTTCGCAGTGAATGTTGGGATATAATCTGGCTCGTTATCAGGGATAGCTGATATCCGGTGTGATTATACGACTAATATCAACTCGCTTCCGGCCATATCGGGAACTCAGAACGAAATCTTAAGATTACGGCCAGCTCGCTACCGGGGAAGATTCGCTTGCTTGGTGAATGTGGTGAATATCAGTGACTCACAGGCTGATAGCCCAAACAAAGAGACTACGGTTGAGGGTGATCGATTTGGGACTGTGCATGGTACAAGAGCGGGGGTGCGTTGCTGCTATCAACCAGAGGTGATCTGACTAGTACTACGAAAGATTGTTATATGATCGGGTGCGAGGTATGAGAAGCATGATGAGCAGCTGGGTCTCCCATAGTAATTGCAGTAGGGACCATTCGAGTATGAGGATATCTGAAATCTTTACACGTCCGTGGAAGTCTTGAAACTATGTCTAATGCTTTTTCTTTTCTGCTAGGGCTCGCTGTAACCACATTGGCTCTTTATATCAGCTACATACCCATTGGAAAACAAAAAGTTGTAGTCTAGAAAGTTCAAACATTCTCAACACCATCTCTCCCAAGGATCAGAATCTTGCTCTCCATTCTGACCTCCACCCACCATCCCCGCGTGACCGTTCGTCGAGCAAGCTCGCGAACTCTGCTCCAAATCTCGACCCCTCTGTCTCCCACAACATACCCCAGGAGATCTCTTTCAACAGCACCGATAGCCTCGTCGCCAGGCCGGAGGACACGGAGTCCCGCGAAGCCGGAAATAGTATCAATGGGCCGCCATTTCCCAGTCACAGAGGAGGAAGACAGGACGAACTCGGCCTCCTCGCCGGGTTCGACTAGAGCATAGTCGAAGTGGGACCAGAAGGTTGGGTCCGACTTGAGGAGAGGGGATTCGGTTTTATCGTAGTTCCAGATTGGAGAGTCGGGCTGACTGGTGGGGAACTGGAGGAAGCGGGTCACACCAGTTTGGCAGGCAAGATTGCCAAGGTAAATTGATACATTGGCGACGTTGTCTGTGGGAGGGATAGCATGGTTGTGGAGGGCGTGGAGGGCGTGTGCGCCGGGGTAGTTGGCGGAGGAGGCGGGCAGAAGGACGAAAGTGGAGACGATGAAGGAAGCTAGGGTTGAGGCTAGCAGGGCCAGGGAGAGGAGACAGTAGATTATTGATTTGGCGCGATGTGTCCAGATGTAGGAGGCGCCTTGAGCGGAGACCGCGGTGAGGGCAGGGATGGTATAGATGACGAAACGCCATTCCTTGTGGGGCTGGCCGCTGTAGATAGCGAGGAAAACAAGAGATGGAATGAGGAGAGATGCTGCGACGGAGCGGGTGGCGGGTTGCAGAAGCGAGATGGGAATGCCAACAAGATAAGTCAGAGGGTTGAGGAGGAGACGAGGAACGGCGTTGATGAAGTAAAAGTGCCACGGGTCAACGCCCCAGGCTGACGCTTGGCCGTGGATGACATTGAACTTGAACGCCTCGAATTCGGGCCACAGGGGAAATTGCTGCCAGAAGAAAGAATCCACGGCCACAGTCGTGGTTAGGCCGATGACAAGGCCCACGATCCCGGCGGGAATGATCTCGTGCGGGATGCTGATACGGCGGGTCGCGAAGAGAAAGATCGTGTTGGTTGCGAGGAAGATGGCAAGCTCAGAGCGAAAGATAATGCCAGCTACTGTCAGCAGACACAGAGCGAGTCGCGAGCGCTTTCGATACGCTGCGGTAGACAGTGATGGCTCTGGAAGAAGGTAACGCAAAGCTAGGGTAGTCATCCCAAATGCGAACATATTTGAGAGCGTCCGCGACGCATAGTATAGAACGTGAAACTGGCTGCTCTGGAACAAAAGGTACCAGATGGCGGTTGTCTTGCCGGCAGTACGCCGTAGACCTCCCGCAAATGACAGCAACGATGCGGCATTAAATAGGCCTAAGATAGCTCGAACTGAAGACATGATCCTTTAGCCATCAACCACACAGCGTAGAAGACAGCTTGCGCACTACTCACCAAGTAATTGCCTGTCGACAGAATGCTGCAACCCAATGAACGGCCGCGCCAAACCGGCCAGCAGCGCGGCGCCGACGAATGTCCGAGGAACAGCACCAGGAAAGGTGAAATGGTCATAATCCGCACGAAGTGTCCCGCTGACATTGCTCGTGGGGATCCCGTATGCCAAAATATCATGAATGGCTTGTATATGGAAAGACTCCTCTACCTTAGTGTATGGCGCAACGACCAAATGGAGGAGAATGAGGGCGGGCACTGCGGCGAGGAGCAGCACGTAGACTGGAGACAGGTCAATTGGCTTGTTTTCTTATTTTCTTGACAAGAATGAATATAGCACTTACCAGCATCTCTCCCACTCATGATGAGCCTAATAATCCCAGCTTGCTCGGATAGAGTCGTGTTCAATGCATAAGAGGAGCCAAGTAGGTCGAAGTATGAAGGAAGACAGATGGCCAAAATCACATGAGTGGGTGGAGCGCAGCAGGTGCAGTGCAGTGCCCAGTGCCTTCCCGCAACTTCCCTTTCCACTCCGTCGTCATTCAACACCACTCACTATCTAAACACATCAACCTCAACCTCTCACCACCAACCTTCCTCAACACTCCTGCAACCCTCCCGCCAAGATGTTTTTCTTCGGCCTAGGGAAACTCTTCTACGGTCCGTCCCCTTCTCTCCCTGTCGTCAAATCCATTGAGCAAGCCGAAAATCCGCAGCCCGAAACTAACCATCGCGTCTTCTTGTCTCCGCAGTCGTCATCCTCTTCATCAACTCCCTGGCCATCCTCTCTGAGGACCGTTTCCTCGCCAGAAGTACGTCCACACAAGTCCAAGTCCCTCCCCCCGGCGGAACTCCTCAACACTCCACAACCCTCCCCTTTCCCCCGGGACCATCTCAGCAAGCTAACCAAGCTCCCTATTTCCCCCCAAAACAGTCGGCTGGGGCCGCATGCAAGCCGATCCAGCCTTCGGCGCAACCTACGACAACACCAGCGTCAAGGCCAAAACCATCAATCTGATCGCCAGTGTCCGGACCGTCATGCGAAGTACGTCTTTCTCCCCAACCATACCACTACCAACAAAAAAAAAGCCCAAGCTACACACGAGCATATCTCCCTCGCGCAAATCCCTCATCTCCCGCACTACACCGCGAGTCACAAATAACCAAACTAACCTCTGCCCATTTTCCCCTCTCTCCAACGGAGAAAAGGGGAATCTGTATAACAGTACCCTTAATCGTGATCAATACCATCGTCATCATCTACGAGCTTATTCTGGGTTAACCGACCCACACCAAAACAATTCGAACGTCTCTTGTCACAGCTCCCCGACTCGTTTTTTTTAACCCGCGATTCACGAATCCCGATTTGTTATGTATACCTTGTCTACTACATATTCTTATACTATATTCAGCAGCGAATATTCTACGAGGTGTTTCCGTTTGCTTTTTTTTTGCCGGTTCGGTGGTGTGTGGGGTCAAGGAATTGAGTAACAACAAGGAATGATATATGACGGAAATAGAAATGACAGTTGTTCTTTATCTCGCTCGGTATGGGGTATACACCTATATGTGATTTCGAGATTTGAATGGATGGATCCCGCGGGTGATGGGAGCTGTGGGAAATGATCACTGCGGTCGGAGTCTATTTGCAAGGATGCTGGGCGCAAGTGGTAATAGATCAGCAGCAGGGCCTTGACTGATGGTGGTTGTGTCGGTCCTGTAAGGTGCGACGAGGATGGGCGAGACAGGGACAGCGTTATCCAGATACCCTACAGAAAGAAAGCACTCTTCGCATACATATCACATTGGTATCAAGGTCTATATACTGCGCGTACCCGCAAGTCTTGGCCCAGGCGAGTTCCATGCATGATATGTCCAGTCGAGGTGAAGCGTAGGCATGAAGTGCCACGCCTGTATTCAAAGGTGGAATGATGCGCCCGTCTGACTTTCGGTCGAGGACCTGCGAATATATCCTCCCGCAAACCATTTGTTATCACGAATTGAGCATCCACTCCCTCGTGTCATCTCCCCCGAGTAAAAACAATTAGGACAGAAAACACTTTCGCCAAACGCCCCATTTGCCCAGTGGTGTGACCCAGGCATGGGTATCACAGGGAGATAAAATCAGAGAACAAGAAAAAGGAAAAGATGAAGAAAAGGCTAAATCAACATGCAGACCGAAGTGATTTGGTCAATGCACCAAGATGCAGGCAGGTAGGAGCTGGCAGAATGACAATCGTGCAAATAAAACAGAAACAGGATCCCTGTCGTTGACGCGCAGTCCTTTCCGTATGCAAGATAGGGATGGGCCACGTCGTCAAAGTCAAAATGAATCCGGTCTGCAAGGCAATGGTGATGATACATGGAGAAAAGGAATATGTACGACAGAAATGCGTCTTTTATGTGCAAGAAAAGTGTAGATCTGATACACGTGGTGACGAGTAACAGGCCATCATGTTCACCATCATGTTCACCATCATGTTCACGAAAGAATGCTGAAGGACTTCTTTCTAATGCTGAAACTCCGCCATTTCCCATGAGTCTGCCGATCGCTCTTAGGGCTCTTAAGAGAATCCGGATCATCGTCGTGAGGGACCAGAAGTGTATCGGGAGGCGTTATCTTCTGAGGAGACAAGGGTTGGAGTGGCTCAGGTGGCATATTGCTTGAACTGGACGTCTCGGAATTGGGCACTGCG